AAAAAAAAAAAAAAAAAAAAAGCTTACTGAAAGTTGAGCGTGGAAAGGGAAAAAAGACAGGCGTGGTGGTGCATGCCTGTGATCTTGGCGCTTGGGAGGCCAAGGCAGGAGGATCACAAGTTTAAGCCCATCCAGGTCAATTTAACAATCTAGCAAGACCCGTAATGATAAAAAGAACTAGGGACAGTTTGATTTGGTTTATGGAATGTGTCTCACTATGTCTCCCAAGCTCACTCTTAATTCCTGGGCTCAAGTGATCCTGCCTCAGCCTCTGCAGTGGCTGGGATTACAGTTGCTCACCACCACCCCGGCTCCCAGAAATGTTTTAAATTGGATTATGGTGGTCGCTGCCTGCTCTGGATTTACTGTGTATAGAAGTTAAACAATATCCTGAGGAAGCAATTGGCCTAATCCACGATGTAGGGAATATCGTAAAGCAAATGACCAGATTTCCCTAACAAATCAAATGACAGAAGAAAAGGTGAAGGAGAATTGTAATGGCATGTGCCACCATGCCTGGCAAGAGCAGCTTTAACACTACTGGGACATTTTGAATGTGAACTGGATGTCTGAGTAGTAGATTAAAAGATTATCGGGGCCCGAGATTTAGCTCAGCGGTTCGGTGGCCTGCCTTGCAAGCGCAAGGACCTGAGTTCAATCCCCGGTACCAAAAAAAAAGAAAAAAAGATTATCTTTATTTTGTCAGTTGTATTAATGATACAGTTTGTATGTGAGAAAAAGAATTCTTACTGGCCTTGCATAAATTTTGTTTTTATTAATATTATTTGTACATTTAAGGTATACAATATGATATTCATTGTTGGAAATTTGTACCTTGGCCTTGCATAAGTTTTAAAAAATTGGTGAAATTTTTTTTAGAGTTTGTTAAAATAAAGAAAACAGTGGAATGAATCTTGAAACAACATTAGCATGGGCTAGGGAATTTTGCTCAGTGGCACCATATATGCCTTGCAAGCATAAGGTCCTGAGTTTGATCCTTGGTACCAACAAAAAAATAAATTAGCAAAATGTTGATTATTTGTTATATCTGGTGATGGGTAATTGTAAGTTAACTATACTATTCTGTCTGATTTCATTTATGAGAATATCCAAAATATATAAAATATGCCAAATGCGGTGGTCCATATCTGAAATTCCAGCCTTTGGGAGGCTGAGCTGGGAGAATTGCCATGAGTTGGGCCAGTCTGGGGCTACATAATGAGACCCTGTCTCAAAAAAAGAAAGAAAATCGACTGGCTGGCCAGGGATTTACCTTAGTGGTGCCTTGCCTGCCTCATGCACAAGGTCCTGAGTTTGATCCCCATTGTGAGAGAGAGAGAGAGAGAGAGAGAGACTGACTGACTGACTCAATTAGGCGTTCTTCTAGCATTCCCTACTAATTTACCTTCTTTTGAATATTATCTTTCCTGTCATTTCTGTGTACAACTTGGCAGAACAACAAGGAGATGTCTTGGAAGACCAAGAAGTTACACGTATTGGCCAAGATGAGACCCTCACCAAAAAGGTAATGTGAACATCCTCCTACTTACTCAGTAGTGGTGCTGGAGATTGAGTCACGACCCTATATGCCTTTTTTAAATAAAAGCTTGGATTTGTGTGTGTATACGTGTGCCAGGCAAGCACATTGCCAGTGAAATAACTTGCCAAGCCGGCCTCACAGTTGGAATCCTTCTGTCTCAGCCTCCTGAGTAGTTGAGATTATAGGCATGTGCCAACATGTGGATTTTCTTTTTAAAGGAGACTGCAGGTTAAAATAGAAACTTTCAGGGTCAGGGATTTAGCTTAGTGGTACTGCCTTCTGCCTCGCAAGTACAAGGTCATATCCTCAGTACCAAAAAAATAAAAAATAAACTTTCAGGCTTTGTAGACAAGATGCAGGTGTCTGTTATTATCCCAGTTACTCTTTGTGTGACTGCTTTCTCTTATGCTTAAAAAAGTTGAGGTGTTTGAAGATAACCCGTACTGTCTACCTAACAATATTATCAATTGAAAAAACAAATAATCAATGTGCTTTATAAACTGTTAAGCAGAACATGAGTACTATGTGTTAACTTATTTTTAAAAAATAACAATTATACTCAGCCAAGCATAGTGATTCATGCCAGTAATCTCAGCACTCTGGGTTGCTGAGGTAGGAGGATCACAACTTGGAGCCCAGCTTTGGCAACTTGATGACTCAGTAAAACACTGTCTCAAAAGGAAAAAAATAATAGTGGGAATGTTCAGTTCCCAGGACTGCTAAAAAGGTAAATAAATCACACAAAAGGTGTTCTATTATACCGTATCTTGTTCTAAGTCTGGCTTTTATTCCCAGTGTATTAAATCCTGGAGAGCTTTCCATTCAGTACATATAAAGTTAAGTCTTGTACTACCTACATAGTGTTCCATCACAGAAATAAATTTTAGATTTATTCTGTTTTTCTTTAGACCATCTTGTTAGTCCTGTAAAAAGAAGGCCTCAAAAAATTGGGTTAAGCCTCAGAATTGTTCCTCTCCACGAAATCTTTAGTAGAAGGCGAAAGATTTATACAATCTGAAGAGAAACCAGAGTATAGAAATACATTTTAGTTAACCCTTCCCTTGACACGTGCATCGTGATTGTTTCCTCTTTTTTTTTCTTACATAAATCATACTGCACTGAACATCCTTGTACAATTGTCTTAGCAAATATTTGTGATTGTGTCAATGCAGTATTTCTAACAGATTGCGTCAAAGGAAAAACACATGTGTTTTCCATATAGGTAAGACCAAATTAAGACAGGCATGATGGTACACACCTGTAATTCCAGCGCTCTGAAGGCTGAGGCTGGAGGATTGCTGTGAGTTTGAGGCCAGCCTGGGGTACCCTGTCTAAAAAAAAAAAAATTGCCCCAAAATGTGTGTATTATTGTTACCTTTACGTCATTAATGTATAAGCATGGCCATTTCTCTTGTCCTCAGTGGTTTTTGGTGTCATTAGAGAGGATTTTAACACCAATCTGGGCATATCTGAGTTGATAACCTAATTTTGAGTGTATAACAAGCCTACTACTAGTATTTATTGTTGGTGATATTGGTAGTTGATAAGGCATTTAAAAAATATCTTTCTACGGGAGCTGGGGATTTAGCTCAGTGGTGCTGCCGCCTTCTTTACAAGCGCAGGGTCCTGAGTTCAATCCCTGGTACCAAAAAAAATAGTAATAATCTTTCTACAGCTAGCTGTTTTTCTTTATTTGATGAAGGAAAAAAATACCCTAGGATTTCATAAAATCAAAAGGTAGTCAATGCTGGGCGTGGTGGCGCACACCTGTAATCCCAGCACTCGGGAGGCTGAGGCAGGAAGATCACTGAGTTTGAGACCAGCCTGGGCTACATAGTGAGTTCCAGGTCAGTCTCAACTACATAGTGAGACCCTGTCTCAAAACAACAACAACAACAAAAAAGTAGTGTTCCCAGGATGTATCTCAGTGATAGTATGAATGCTTACAACTACATAGAGACCCTGTCTCAAAACAACAACAACAACAAAAAAGTAGTGTTCCCAGGATGTATCTCAGTGATAGTATGAATGCTTAGCATACAAAGCCTGGTTTAATCCCCAGCACTTTAAAAAAAAGAACTCATTGCTTATACTTTATTTTGCCAGAATTTATTCTAAAAAACAAATGACAGGTGCTTTATGGTTTTATAGTTTTCTTGCAATCTTCACTTAGGTTTGTATGATTCTTGTGCACTTATGTTAATTTGATAATTACCCACACACACACCTCAGGCTGGGGATTTGGCTCAGTGGCACCACGCCTGCCTCACAAGCACAAGGTCCTAAGTTCTATCCTTGGTACAAAAAAAAAAAAAATCCTCCCTATCAAGACTGATTATGAATTTGGCGGGGGGGACCAGGAATCAGATTCAGGACCTCTCACTTGCCAGGCAAGTGCTATGCCACTGAGCTACATTCCTGGCAGCTGATTATGCATTATTTCTTTTGAATCTGTTCCGATTTTCATTCAGCAGTCTCCCCAGAAGTCCAGCACTCCTCTGCCTACTGCTTCCATGGATGAAGAAGATGAAGAAGGGGACATTTGTACAATATGTTTTGAACAGTGGACCAGTGCTGGGGATCACCGGCTCTCAGCATTACGCTGTGGCCACCTCTTTGGATATAGATGCATTTCTAAGTGGCTCAAAGGTCAAACACGGAAATGTCCCCAGGTAAGGACCGTATTAAGGACCCAACGTGTTAAGTCAGGATTTGTACAGTCACACTAATTTTGTCCCATTGAATCTTTAGTGCAATAAGAAGGCCAAGCACAGTGACATTGTTGTCCTTTATGCCCGAACCCTGAGAGCATTGGACACTAGTGAACAGGAGCGTGTGAAAAGGTAAGTGGTGAGAGTGTACCTAGCTACAGTGTTCCCTTTTAGTGCTGTGTAGACATCTGAAAAAGAAAGTGTGAGTCCAGGACAGACATGGTGGCACGTACCAGTAATCCCAGCATTCAGGTGAGGCAGGCAGATTGCTGTGAGTTCCAGGCCAGCCTGGACTACATCATGAGTTCAAGGCCAGTATGAGCTATATAGCAAGACTGTCTCACACAAAAAGAAAAGAAAGTAGGAGTGCATTTTTAGTGTGGGTCTGACACTTTACTACCTGTGACTTGGGATCTCTGGGGATCATTGCAGCCTGGATTTACATTGTTATTCATAATTCATACCTGATCATCCTCTCAAGGGAATCTGAATGGATTGTCTCCATACAATATTAAAAATGAGGATTTGGCACAATGGCAAACTTCTGTAATCCCAGGTACTTAAGAGACTGAGGTGGAAAGATAAGTTGAGCCCAGAAGTTCAGGACCAGCCTGGGCAGTATAGTGAGACTTCATCTCAAAAAAAAAAAAAAAAAAAAAAGATCTGGCACATTTATTTTACTGTTGCCATTTTTGGTTTTCATCATTTTAAACCTGTATACAATAATAAATAGTTCTATCCACAGGTGACTCATAAGTGAAATTTGTGTGTGCAGTGCAAAAAAAAAAAAAAAGGATTTTGTAGACCCTGAGCAATTGCTAATAACATTACTTAAAATATGCTTTAAGAGGGGCTGGAATTTAGCTAAGTGGTTTCACCACCAGCTTTGCATGTGCAAGGTCCCGAGTTTGATTCCCCAGTACCCAAAAAAAAAAAGAATATTGCCAGGAATGTAGCTCAGCAGTGCAGCATCTGCCTGGCAAGTGTGAGGCCCTGAGTTCAATTTCCAATAACCAGAAAAAAAAAGGAATGTTAAAGAATGAAAAAATCCATCATTGTGAGTTTCAGAGATATGGGTTCTCTCATATTTTGCACATGGTGATGTATACAGATATGTCTGGTAATTCTGTTTCAGGCACTTGTCCTTAATAAAAAAAAAAAAAAAAAATCAAGGATATGTCCAAAGGTTTGCTTAATGAAACTTCGCATTATTAATAATCCAAACCAAAGGAGTTAATTAGTTGAGTGAACTGTGGCACATCCACATGCTGGAATATTACACATTCATTAAAACTGATATTGTCGGGTGTCCTGCACTTGCCTGTCATTCCAGCACTGAGGCTGAGGAAGGAGAATCATGTGAGTTCCAGACCAGCCCGGAATATATATAGCAAGATGCTGTCTCAAGCAAACAAGCAAAAAACACTGATAATGAGTAGTGCACATAGGTTATCACATGAAAGGATATTATTTTTGTTTGTTTGTTTTTTGGTACTGGGGATCGAAGCTAAGTCCCCAGCCCATATATTATTGTTTAGTTTTGTTTTTTTTTCAAGCTTATCTTTTTTTTTTTTTTTCTTTTTGGCACTGGGGATCGAACTCGGGTCCTTGTGCTTACAAGGCAGGTGGCAGAACCACTGAGCTAAATCCCCAGCCCCTAGTTTTGTTTTTTTAATGGGGGATCAAACTCCGGTCCTTGTGCTTGCGAGGCAGGCTGTAGAACCACTGAGCTAAATGCCCAGCCCTGATTGATTTTTTTTTTTATAAACTGGAAAAGACTTATTTTAATTTTCCTCTTTGTGTTTATTCATTTGCTCCCAACAAGTATTTCTTTGTGCTGAAAAGACAAAATCAAGTTAGTATGTAGCTCAGTGGCAGAATGCTTGCCTAACACTGGTATTTCAATCCCCCCACCACTGCAAAAATCCTTTGGGATTTTTATTATGACTGCATTAAATTCCTTACATTAACTTGAGAAATTACCATCTCCGTGAAACTCTCATGCCCTGAACATATATAGCATCCTTATAAAAGTCATTCATATTCTTGGATTTTATTCCCAGATTTTTGTTAAAATTACTGTTGGGAATGAACTTTTCCTTTTGCATTTACTAATGAGTTATCTGGTACATGGTGAATGTTGTTGACCTGAATTTCTTTTTTTGTCTGTTTTATTAACTCTGTTGTCCTCAAACTTGGGGTCCTCCTGAGTAGCTGAGATGCAGCAACAGGTCACCATGCCCCATTGATCTGATTTTTCTTGTTTTTAATTCCAGCAGCCTTGCTGAACTATAATAATTTGTAGTTTCTCTTGAATTGTCTGTGAAAATAAATGAGGGCAGCTTTATCTTTTCTTTTCTTTTCTTTTTTTTTTTTGAGACAGGGTCTTGCTATGTAGTCCAGGCTGGCCTTGAACTTGCAGTAGTCCTCCTGCTTCAGTTTCCTAGATGCTAGGACTACAGGCATGCATTACCATGCCTGGCTCTTTCTTTTCTAATTTTCATGACCTCTTTCTTTGCAATTGCATTGGAGTAGAATTATATCCTTGTTTTTTGTGTTTCATATCTTGAAACTTTTTAGGTACATACACACTTTTAATTGTTACTCTTGGTGAATGTATCCTTTTCTTACGTATTATCTCTTTTTTTGCCTATGTATTCTTTTTGTCTTAATTATAATTGCTCCTTCTTTTGGTAGCATTTGCTTACTATGTACTTTTTTCCCTGTAGTACTAGGGATCAAACTCAGGACCTTATGCTTGCAAGGCAGGCATGGTACCACTGAGCTAAATCCCTGGCCCCCACGATATACTTTTTTTTTACTTCAGCCTTTTTTTTTGTACCAGGGATCAAACTCGGACCCTTGCACTTGAGAGGCAGGCGGCAGAACCACTGAGTTAAACCTCTGGCCCCAGCCCTTTTTTTTTTATGCTGTTATTTAACTTGAGTATTTCATGAGCAACTAACCAATGGCTTATTATTTTGTGGGGGGGTGTTTGTTTTTTGGGTACTGGGGATTGAACTCAGGACCCTGATCTTGCAAGGCAGGCTGCGAAACCACTTAGCTAAATCCCAGGCCAGTAGATTATTATTTTAATTAAGCAAACAATCTTTTAAGAAATTTAATCTATTGTAATTGCCTTAGCTCAAGCAGTAAGATGGCTCTGTTCCTTCCTTTGCTTATGGTTCTTTTAATCTTCATTCCCTGGTGCAAGTCACATCCTGGCCATCGCTGTTTGCTGGAACATCAAAGCCCAGGCAGGTTCCTGAGTTCAGCCCTGCCTGCTGTTTTCCTGTAGTGTTTCTGGAGTGGAGAGATTTTTTCCTCTTTGTGTTTTATCCACTCTTAAGCTGTATTTACCACTAAATATGTGTGAGAGAGTGAATTTACTCCCCCAGCTCAATGGGAAGGCTTGCTAATCCTTACCTGTCGCTCTTTCCCGTTCCAGTGCCTTAGTGAAGGAGCAAATGTTAAGGAAGCAGGCTGAGTTAGAATCTGCACAGTGCCGACTCCAGCTTCAGGTCCTCACTGAGGAATGCAGTAGACTTCGCACTCGTGTCCAGGTGAGCGTGCCCTTCAACTCAGACCTAGAATCAGAATTAGGAGGAGGAGGGCTAGGATGTATGCAGCTCAGTGCTACAGTGTATGCTTAGTATGTGTAAGGCTCTGGGTTCAATCTCCAAACCCCCGAAAAAGAAAAAGAATTAAAGAGAAACCTAAGTCTTATTTAAGTTCATCTCAAATATAAATAAGATCTGTCAGATTATTTAAGAAATAATTATGACCAGTTCATTTCCTTTCTGATGACAGCACTTGTCCAAAACACTTGAGGATGAATTCTACTATAACCAGAATTGTGTTTTGTGCTCTGTTTTGTTTTGTCAGTCTGGTTTTTTGGTTTGTTTGGGGTTGTGGGTTTTTCGGATTTTGGTTTGGTTTGGTTTGGTTTTTTGAGAGAGTCTCGCTGTGTACTTCAGGCTGGCCTTGAACTCACTCTGTAGCCTAGGCCAGCCTCAAATTTGCTATGATCTTCCTGCCTCAGCCTCCCAAGTGCTGGGATTATGGGTATGCACCACCATACCTGGCTACAATTAGAATTTTTTATTTAATTAAATTAGGTGTGGTGGCACATACTGTAATCCCACTACTCTGGAATGTTGAGGCAGGAGGACAAGTTCAAGCCCAGTGTGGACAACTGGGCAGCTTGATGAGATAATCGTTTCAAGAAAGGGCTGGGGAGCCAGGCATGATGGCACAAGTCTATAATCCCAGCACTAGGGAGGCTGAGGCAGGAGGATTGCCAAAAATACCAGGTCACCCTGGGCTATATAGTGAACTCAAGGCCAGCCTGGACTATATAGCAAGATCCTATCTTTAAAAAAAAAAAGCTTTCAAACTCAGTTCTCTAGAATTTATGGTAGTATTTTCAGATAATAGACAAGATATCTAAGATCAAGATAATGTTTTGGTTTTTTGTTTTTAGTTTTTTGAGACAGGGTCTCACTATGTAGTTCAGACTGCCCTGGAAATCACTATGTAGCTCAGGCTGGTCTCGAACTCACAGCTGTCCTCCTGCCTCAGCCTCCGAGTGCTGGGATTACAGGCGTGGACCCACCCCACCAGGCTCAAGATAATGTTCTTGAAGGGAATGTTAATGAAAAAGCTTTGCATTTACAAAGTTGTGTTCATTCTAGGACTTGCAAAAACTTATGAAGGAACAGGATCAGATTTCAGTGCAACGCCAGGTCTCCGGAGCTCATTTCCTGAACTCCCTGCCCGCCAGCCAGAGCCAGCATAAGTACCACTTCCAGAAGATTTTCACCGTGTCTCGGATAGGGAGCTGCCGCATCATGGCGTACTGCAACGCCCTGAGCTGCCTGGTGGTGTCACAGCCTTCTGCTCAGGCTTCCTTCTTTCCGGGTAAACAGTTCAGGGCCTTAGCGTCCATGTTCTTTGTTCCACATCCCTCTCTTTATTTCCCTTCTCTCCCTCTTTGAAGAACCCAGGAGTCAGTAATGGCTGAACACTGACCACAGGCCACCATCACCTTTTGTCTCATTTCATTGTTAACGCAGGTGCTTCAGGGATGAAGCTGCTGAGATGTCTGTGGCCTTTATTCTGAAACTGGGTTCATTGAGAAAGTAGAAGCACTGATAACAATGGTAATGCGCTGCGAGTAATGCTGTACTCCAGGGACAAGGCTGCGTATGACCCGTCCATCTTACCAGTTTGTTCTAGACATGGGATTCTTCATTCTAAGGGTTAATTCACATCAAATCAGAATTTACTTATTTCCAATAGTGTTCAAATTGACAAACTCCAAGTTAGAATTTGTAGACTAAATTAGTATATTTTCTGATTTTTCTCTCATCTGTTATGCATTTAAAGCAATTGTAGGGCGCCTTAATGTTGTAAACTAAATGTCCGTAGCCAGGTGTGGTGACACACACCTGTAATCCCAGCACTTGGGAGGCTGAGGCTGGAGGATTGCCAAGAGTTCGAGGCCAGCCTGGGCTACGTAGCAAGACCATGTCTCAAAAAACAAAAAACCAAATGTCCTGACATGTCAAATTAAATTGTGACTAAATGTTGGGGATGTTTCTTTCTACTACCTGCAGTGTATAATTTATGCCATCTTTGAGGTTCCTTCAGCTTTGTTTCCCCACTTAGACATTTTAGTACTTCAAAACTGATTACTATACACCCCAAACTTAGGTATTTATAGGTTTGGGGATTAAATCACTAGGTTATCATATGTTTCTCTGTTTAGTGACAATAGCTGCAAGTTGAGAGTATGAGGTGCTTCCATATGAGCAGATAATAAAAGGATTGTTTATAACATTCTTTATCACATCCAAGAAAATAATAAAAAGATTTATCATCAAATAAAACTTCCCCTCTAATGTTCCTCAAATTAAATACACATTGTCTCCCTTTTTTTGAGACAAGGTCTCACTATGTGTTTCTTGTTGGCCTTGAAGTTACTATTGTAGCCCAGGCTGTCCTCAAACTTGTAGTGATCCTCCTGCGTACTAAGACTACAGGCGTGTGCCACCATGACTGTCTTTTTATTTTTTTTTTTTTTTAATGGTACCAGGAGTCGAATTTAGGACCTTGTACTTTCGAGGCAGGCATGGTACCACTGAGCCAAACCTCAGTCCTGTCCATTTTTTTTCCTTGATACGGTGTGTCGTCTAGTCTCCAGAATAGGTCTGCTAGATAACTATTGGTACTAATTTGTTTTTGTTGTTCTTAATAATTGAGTAAGCATGTATTCCTATCACTAGATTTAAACCCTATACCCTCCTTATTGGTCTTTCTAGGTTTCCTCATTCTTTTCAGAAAACATAATAAACTTTATCCTACTTATCTATCTGCAGAAGTGTTTCAATACTATCTTGAACCTGGGATTTAAGTAACTGAGAAACTAATCAATACTTATTAAAAGTAAATATTCGTATACTTCACAAAAAGAGGGAAGGAGGGAGAGAGAAAGTTTTTTACTGTTCATGTTGCTTCTGCTTGTGGACTACCTGTGTTTCAGGTAGATAGTCTCAGAATCTCATAATAGCTTTACTGAAATATAATTGACATAAACCATACATATTTAAAGTGCACGATTTGATGAGTTTTGACCGCGTGTATACCATGACCATCACTGTGATCAGCATGTAATGCATCTAGGTGCTACGACACAACCCTGTGATCCCCCTGTAATTCCTGGGAACGTGGCACACTCAGGAGGCTGATGGAAAAGGCTTGCAAATTTGAGGCCAGCCTGGGCAACTTGGCAAGACCTCAAAATAAAAAGGTCTGAGGGGGTCGGGGATGTAGCTCAGTGGTGCCATGCCTGTCTGGAGAGCATGAGGTCCTGAGTTGGATCCCTGGTATGGAAAAAACAAAAAGGTCTGAGGGCCAGGGATTTACATGCTACCGCCTGCCTTGCAAATTCAAGGTCCTGAATTTGATTCCCAGTACCAAAAAATTAAAAAATTTTAAAAAGGTTTGAGATGTAGCTCAGTGGTAGAGCACTTATGAATTTAGTTCCCAGTACTGAAAAAGGAAAAGATCATAAACATTATCTGTCATCTGTAAAGTTTTCTTACCCCCTTTTATAATTGTTTTCTACCTATCCTGTTTTTATCCTTAGGCAGCCATTGATCTACTTTTTGTCACTGAAGATTAACTTGCATTTTCTAGATTTTCATATAAATGGAAGCATATAGCATTTATTCTTTTTTTTTTTTTTTTTTTTTTTTTTTTTTTTGGTACTGGGGATGGAACTCGGGCCCTTGTACTTGGAAGGCAGGCAGCGGAGCCACTGAGCCAAATCCCTGGCCCTGTCATCAATACTTTTGTGTAAATCGATTTCATTCCTGTTTATTTCTGGGTAATATTCCATTGTTGGTATATATAATAGATTCATTTATTCATTCATCTCTTGACAGACATTTGGGAGGTGTGTTGTTATTTATTGCCGTGTTGACCAGCTGTTTTTCAGGAATTTACATGCCAAGAAAAGTGAACAAAGGAGAAAGTTTATTTGCTTTTGAACTAAACTGATTCCCGTTGAATTGTTCTGTGCTCTCTGCTCTGGCAGGCTTCGGTGTGAAGATGCTGAGTACTGCCAACATGAAAAGCAGTCAGTATATTCCGATACATAACAAACAGATCCGCGGACTGGCTTTCAGCACGCGGTCCAAAGGCCTGCTGCTCTCGGCTTCCCTGGACAACACTATTAAACTGACCAGGTGAGTGAGTCAGGGAGAGGTAGGGCCTGGGCCTCTTAGCATTGGACAGCATCAGGCTAGTGTCAGTGTTTACGATCATGCCTAGCTCTCTCTCACTGGTCTGAAGCACTCTTCTCAGATCTACTTTAAACATACTCCTGCTGGATATGGTAATGAACACCAGTAATCCCAGCTGCACAGGAGGCTGAGAGAAAGATTAGAAGTTCAAGCCTAGATAATTTGCTAAGACCTTGTCTCAAAATTTTTAAGAAGCACAGAGATAGCAAGGCACAGTGCTGCACATTTATAGTCACATCACTTGGTAGGTTGAGGCAGGAGGTTTGAGTTCAAGTCCTGCCTGGGCAACTTAGTATAACCCTATCTCTAAATCTTTAAAACGTCTTGGGGTGTAGCTTTGTGGTAAAGCAACCTGCACTCAACCTGGACATGAAAAACGGGGGACAGGAGGTTGTAGTTTGAGATGTAGCTCAGTGCTACAGTGCCTCGCATGCACAAGGTCCTGAGTTTATTCTTCAGCACCAAAAAAACAAGTATTCCTTATAAAAGTAGAGGTTACTAAACTGTATTGAGTAGAAATATATGTTGTAAATACACCTTAGACCTCCTGGATTTAGTAATGCCCTGGAAATGGTGAGATGACAGTATGCAGGGCCCTTGGTTCCCATACCATAGTGTCACCATACCACCATAATTCTGTTCACCCGGGTATGCTGTCTGATGAGGATGCTCGCCTTGCATTAGCTATCTTTGGTGCAGCATTTTGTCTTTCATGTGCTCTGTGGGTACCATGAAGCAGATCTGAGTGAGCTGCAAGCTTTTGTCCTTTAGAAAGTGATTCTGACTCGGGAGGCTACGGCAGGAGGATTGCTGTGAGTTTGAGACCACCCTGCGCTACATAGTGAGTTCCAGATCAGTCTCAACCATATAGTGAGACCCTGTCTCAAAAAACCAAAAAGAAAAAAGAAAGTGATTCTGATCAGATGCCTCAGAACTAGCTTTCTGCTGGGCTTGGTGGCACACATCTATAGTTCCAGCATTTAGGAGGCTGAGGCAGGAGTATCACCATGAGTTTGAGGCCAGCCTGGCCTCCATAGTGAGTTCAGTTCCAGCCTGAACTACTCTAACAAGGTCCTGTCTCCAAAAAAACAAAACTGCCTTTCTGATTTCTGATGCTAAATACAAGGGCATCCTGATAAAGCTGGCCAGCCTAATAATAATAATCCTTTTGACTTTTGGCGGGTGGGGCAGGATTTCACTGTGTATGTAGTTCAGGCTGATTTTGAACTCACTAAGGCTGGCCTCAAGGAATCCTCTTGCCTCAGCCCCAGAGTGTTGGGATTACAGGTGTGCACTACCGCACGCAGCTGTCCTTTTCACTTTGATTTTTTTGTTTGTTTGTTTTTTGTTTTTTGAGACAGGGTCTCACTTTGTAGTTGAGACTGACCTGGAACTCACTATGTAGCCCAGGCTGGTCTCAACTCACAGTGATCCTCCTGTCTCAGCCTCACGAGTGATGGGATTAAAGGCATGAGCCACCACGCCTGGCTTTTTTGGAGTTTGTTCGTTTTTTGAAACAAGGTCTCCTGTATTCCAGGCTGGCCTCAAAATCTCAGCAGTCTGCTTTCTCAGTCTCCTCAGTGCTGGTATTATAGGCATACATCACCACGCCTGGGTCCTTTTGACTTTGTTAGGAGTGTTTTAGGGCTGGGATTATGACTTGGTGGGAAAGTAGTCACCTAACATGTAGTACCCTGCATTTGATCCCAAGCACACATACCCTAAAAAAACCCAAACATTCAGGTTACTTTTGGCCCAAACTTGAATGTAACATGATGTTTTTTGTTTTGGGGAGTTTATTTTGTTTGGTATTTTTTTGTTTTTTGGGGTTTTTGGTCCTGGTGAGTTGAACTCGGGTACTTGCGCTTGTGAGGCAGGCAGTGAAACCACTGAGCTAAATCCCCAGCCCTATAACATGACATTTTTATGTGTGTAGATGTGGGGCGGGGGGGAGGGGTTAAACAGGAAAATGTTACCTCTGGGTGGTAGGGTTATAATTTAGTTTTATTTTTTCTTACATTTTCTTATTTTCCTAAATTGGTTACTTGTTTGCTAGGTAACTGTGGTAAAGGTAATAGGAGAATGGACAATATGTTCTTTCTTCTTCTTTGCTTTGCGTAGCTCAAGCGGAAAGCCTGTGGCCCGCAAACACGGAAGTTTTGGAATTTGAAGGGGTTATTTGGTAACCCAGATGGCTTGGGTCTGTGGATGTCTTCTCAGTAAGCATTATTGATTATGAAATGATATTCGTTGCCTTTTTGTCATCTATTTGATTCTCTTAATTTATAATCTGCAGCCTGGAGACAAATACTGTGGTCCAGACTTACAATACTGGACGACCTGTCTGGAGCTGCTGTTGGTGTCTCGATGAAAACAACTACATCTACGCTGGACTGGCCAATGGGTCAATTCTAGTGTATGACCTGCGAAACACAAGCTGTCGTGTGCAGGAACTAGTCCCTCAGAAAGCCAGGTAGGGAGCTGCTCACTCCTCTGCTCTAAGCAGCTTTTTCTCAGATCGTTACTGTAATAGCTTGGTCCTCAGGGTTGTCCTCATTTGGCCATCAGTCCCCTTGGAGAGCAGCTCACTGAGGTCAGCTGCTGTGGTCTCATTTCAGAATCGGGAAGACCTTTAGGAATTGTGTTCATGTTGTCCAATGCTTTTTTTTTTTTTTTTTTTTTTTTTTGGATACTCTCACAAAGATAATTTGCTAGAAAATGATACAAAGAGCCCAGAAAAAGGCGCGTCACAGATCATTTTTTTTTTTTTTTTTTTCGGGTACCAGGGATAGAACTCGGGCCCTTACGCTTGCGCTTGGCGGAACCATTGAGCCATTTCCAGATCCCCAGTAGAATTATGTTCATGGTATTTCATGTGGTAGAAAGCTCTGGTATCGGGAGTAACCATGATGTGATGCTGAGTGTGGTGGCACACACCTGTAATCACAGCACTCTGAGAGGCTGAGGTAGGAAAAGATAACTGGTTTAGGCTACATTTTTATTGTTGTTTCTTTCTACCATAGTGTTTCCAATTTCTTTTATTGGAGTATCTGGTGCTTTGCAGAATGCCCCTTTTCTATTAGAGGGTGAAGAGTTTTATTAGATGTGAGGGCATGCTGACCACACGTTTAACCTCTTTGGTAAACAAGAATATGGGCTCCTGGCAGAAATGTCAGGCGCAGTCCAAGTGTTGGGTGTAGAATGTGAACCCTGGTTTCCCTTTTCTCCTCAGATGCCCCCTGGTGTCCCTGTCATACATCCCCAGAGCTGCCTCGGCTGCATTTCCATATGGTGGGGTACTGGCTGGAACCCTGGAATACGCTTCCTTCTGGGAGCTGAAAATGGGCTTTTCACACTGGCCTCACATGCTGCCCCTGGAACCAGGGGGCTATGTGGACTTTCAGGCAGAGAGCAGCACCCGACACTGTCTGGTAACCCACAGGCCCGGTGAGTGGGGGTGTCCCTGGGCCTCTGGGGGTGTTTGGGAGCAGATTGGCCCTCCCCTTGGGTGGCTATGGTGCCAGACTTGCAGCTCTTCCTGCTCCCGTGAGGGTGGGAGCACCTGGTTCCTTCCTTTGTGGGAACGGCCGTTTTCCCAGGTGGTGAACCTCTCCAGGCTCACCTCTGCCTTCAGTGGTGCGGGGAGGGAGGCTGTTCTGGAGTCTGTGAGCTACGTTCAGATCACTTTTATGTCTTCTACCTGTCACACACCTCATGCAAGAGAAAGCCCAGATGTGACCCAGACGGGCCTCTTCTTAAATTCACAGGTTCTTTATAGTTTAAATTCCTGATGAAGCACCCTGATATCAGTCGGTGCTGTGGATTTTCATCCTTTCTTCCTTTGGTCTGAGGTCTCAAGGGAATGCTATAACCTGTAGCCCTGCCCTGATGGGGCTGTTGGTATTTAGTGTTGGTTGGTTCCATGTGCCTTTCATAGGTACCTCCTTTATCCTGTAAGACCGCTTTATTGCCGAAGAGTCTGACCTGTGACCAGGCTGACCTCTCACAGGAACCCTGACAGGCTCAAAGACACTGTTCTCAGGACAGCAGGCCTTCTTATCTTAAAGACGGCGCCCAGTACCACTCTTTTTTGTTCTCTTAGCTTTTATTTGCTTCTCAGCAGAACCTCAGGTACGATTCTCCTGGAATAGCATACTTTTACTTTCTAAGAGTACAATCCTCAGGTCCTCGGTGGGGGAAGGGGAAAAAAACTGAGAACTCTTAGAGATGAATTCCTCAGGAGAGGTCTGGCAGGACACGGTGACTTTCCTAAAACAGGTACATCCTCAGAATTTTCTTTTATAGGCAAAAGCCTGTTGTGGGTAACTCACTTCTTCCTAGCTGAGGTTTCTGAATTTCACTTGTGCTGGTTCTGTTTGCTCTATAGCTACTCCTGTGGTCTAATATACTTACATTCTTCTACCCGGCTACGCCGTACGTGTCTGGGGCACAAGTTCTTGGTCACTGCCTAGGTACCATCCCAGTGGACTAGCGCTGGCTTCTCTGTCCCACAGATAAGAACCACAACACCATGCGAAGTGTGCTAATGCAGATGTCCTACAAGCTGGATGACGCCGGGGAACCAGTTTGCTCCTGCCATCCTGTGCAGACATTCCTCGGGGGACCCACTTGCAAACTGTTGACCAAAAGTGCCATATTCCAAAGCCCACAGAATGATGGCAGTATCCTGGTCTGTACTGGCGATGAAGCATCAAATTCTGCCCTGGTAAGTGTCTGTTTTGTTTATTTTATTTTTTGAGACAGGGTCTTGTCCATGTAGTTCATGCTGACCTTCAACTCACTATGACTCCAGTCCTTGTGAGGCAGGTGGCGGAACCTCTGAGCTAAATCCCCAGTCCCCCTGCCCCTTTTTAATCTATTTATCTATCCTTTTAGGGCTTTGGGGGGGGGGTTTGGTTTTTTGAGACACGGTTTCATTATGTAGTTGGGATTGACCTGAAACTCGCTATGTAGGCCTGCACCACCACGTCTGACATATTTATTTATTTATTGTACCAGGGATTGAACTCGGGCCCTTGTGCTTGTGAGGCAGAGACGGTGGCACCACTGAGCCAAATCCCCGGCCCTTTTTTTGGCAAGGGGGTAGAAAAATTTTTTTAAAAGTAGGAAAATTTGCTGGGTGGTGGCACAAGCCTGTAATCCCAGCACTTGCAAGGCTGAGGCAGGAGGATCGCTGTGAGTTTGAGACCAGCCTGGACTACATAGTGAGTTCCAGTTCAGTTTCAACTACATAATATGAGATCCTGTCTCAAAAAAAATCAAAAAACAAAAAATGTTGGAAATTTTACTGGGGAATAGGAATAGCTCCTGAGAGAAAGGAGGTGTCCCAAATAGGTTGCCTCAAATGTTTTTTTTTTTTTTTTTTTTTTTTTTTTTAAGAGCAGCATATTTCAGTATATATAAGGGTAAAATAACATAAATCAGCAAAGCTAAAGATAGGGTTCATAGGGGGCCAGGGATTTAGCTCAGTATGGGCAAGGCCATCTCGCAAGCGCAATAACCCACAGAACCCAAAATAAAAATAGGGTTCACAAACCGGGTGTAGTGGCACATGCCTGTAATCCCAGCACTCGGGAGGCTGAGGCAGAAGGATCACTGTGAGTTCGAGACCAGCCAGGGCTACAAAGTGAGTTCCAGGTCAGTCTCAACTACATAGTGAGACCCTGTCTCAAAAAAACAAAACAAAAAAGTGGGGGGAGCTCACAATCCAGGTGAGTAAAGCCTTAATAATTGTTGAATGGGGGGGGTCATTGTGCCATTTTCTCTGCTTTCTATTTATTTTTTATTTTTTTATTTTTATTTTTTGGATACCTGGGATTGAACTCAGGTCCTTGTGCTTGCGAGGCTGGTAGCAGCACCACTGAGCTAAATCCCCAGCTCTTTTTTATTTTTTATTTAATTTGAAGACAGGGTCTCACTATGTATGTAATCCAGACTGACTTCAAACTTGCTGTGTGTCCAGCTTAGCCTCTAAGTTGGATCCTCCTGCCTTAGCTTCCTGGGTGCTAGGATTACAGGCATATGTCATCATAAAATACTTTGTATAGTGAGTTTTGTTTTGTTTTCTTAGACTTAGAAAGGAAAAGAAAGTACTATTTAGAATGTAGGTTCCATGAGGACTAGGCCAGGAATTTTTTCTTTTCCCAGCTTTATTTCCCCCAATGGAAACTCCATCCCTGGAAGTACTGACCTTGAACTTGGAGTGATCCTCCTGCCTCAGCCTTGTACAATACCAAGGTTGATAATGTGGAGTGGGTGGAGCAAGCTCCTACTCTATTTCCCAGTTTCACAAGTCCATTTAACCAGCACTCAGGCAGAGGCAGGAAGATCACTGTGAGTTTGACTCCAGCCTGGGGGCTACATAGTGAGTTCAAGGCCAACCTGAACCGCATAGCAAGACTCCATCTCAAAAAACTAATCCAGGAGTGGTGGCGCAGGCCTGGAATCCCAGCTGGTAGATTGGTAGGCTGAGGCAGGAGGCTGTGAGTTAGAGACCAGCCAGGGCTACATAGTGAGTTCTAGGTCAGTCTCAACTACATAGTGAGACCCTGTCTCAAAAAAGCTAACAAAAGTCCACTTGATAAATTGTCTTTGGATAGAGAGCCTAACAGCCAAAGGCTGAGAAATAGTTGGGCCAGGAACTTTGTCTGATTGACCCTCTGCCATGGAAGGACCAGTAGTAGCTAAGAAGTTGCGTGGCACACAGATGGAAGGAATGAGTGGTCCCAGGCAGACTAATTGCTGCTTGCAATGGGCAAGGCCATCTCAGCGTGTGCTGGGTGTGAGGGCATTGTGCAGCCTTGTGAAGGTTATAGTCAGTCTTTTCCCTAGACAGTTCTCACCTCTCCTCAGTTGTTTGGTGACAGAGCAAGTGAGACCACCACCCCCCCAGCTGGACTGTCCACTGACCTTCTTTTCCCTGTGATTGTCTTCTTTAGCTATGGGATGCTGGCAGTGGCTCGTTACTGCAGGACCTGCAGAATGATCATCCTGTCTTGGACATCTGCCCATTTGACGTGAACCATAGCAGCTACCTGGCCACCTTAACAGAGAAGATTGTCCACATCTATAAGTGGGAGTGACCTCCGGTGTGCTGCTCATTGGCCTTCAGTGTTGTTACCCCTGAGCAAGATGCCTGCTTGGTGCCTGCAGATGAGAACGTCTGGCTCCTTGGGTTAGGGTGGTCCCGAGGCATGTGTATCTGCTCTATCCATGAGGCCAATGACTGCTGCTGTGCCATCTGTGTAATTACTTCCTTGGGTAAAAGGCCTTCGTGAATCTTTGCTGGAAACCTTCTTGCTGTCTATATTTTGCTGGTGTCCTGTCAGCAGTCATTTAGGATCTGAGTGTGCACCAAGTGTTTTCTGGGTGATCTGACACCCACTGCCCAACTGAGCATCTTGTTGGGCTAATTGCTACATCCCGAAGGGGCCGACCTTCCAGGCTTGGTACATCACTGACACAGAAGAGTCTGTCTCCCACTGAACACGAGACCCCTGGAGAACCCTGTGTAGGGTGCGATGTTATTTCTGAGCCTGAAGGCTTATGACCTAGTACGTGCCTCATCTGTGCCGAAGTGTGCAGCAGTGTTGCCACTTGCGTTTTTCCAGGCACGCAGTGGGAGGGTGTTGGCGAGTCCGGTGGTGGAGGTGGCCTCAGCTAATGCTGTGTGCACTAAGGTTCACTGCATTGTGGGAGCTAAGGAAGGGGTCCAGTTGTGTGAACAATGGGGAGGGGTCATTTTCCTCCAGCTTGCCTAGGATCTCAGGATTTTATCTAAGCCAGTACTTTAAGGACAATTCTTTTCTCCCCCTGCTAGGAATAGATGAGTAATATGTCAGAGTTCCTACTTGACTCTCCCAGAGATCAGGAGCAAGGGACTCAATAAGAAGGCTGAGTCAGGTGGACAGCATGAACCACAGAGAGACGCTGTCTCAGGAAAAATAGAAAAGAAAGCCTGCGAAGCAGCAGATGTGTGGAGAAGGGGAATACGGTTTGTCTCCCATTTTGGAAAGTTGCCTAACTAGAAGCAACCCCTCTGTGTGAGGAGCTGCTGCTGAACATCTTTATAATTCCCAGGTAGTGGTTTCCCCTCGTGAACTGATGTTTCCAGTTTCCGCTGACTCACCTCTAACCTCTTCGGAGTGTTATTGGTAATGTTATTCTCAGGAAGATACCAGTGGTTGCAGACCTGTATGGAGGACAGGGAGGCACCCACCAGCTCTCATTCTAGTCCTTGTCTGTCCAACGTGAGGAGCTGCACTTCTGTCCAGCAGAGGGCAGGCGTAGGCTGTGTTTGCTTTGCTTTTGTCTGACACTTCCGTGTAGACAGGCCAGTGCTCTTGGAAGCAGCATGGCTAACAGTGTGATTTCTGTTTTTGTTTTTGTTCTAACAGTGTGATTTCTTAAATAATTGTTAGTGAGGTGTGAGCCTTCGGTCAAACAATCCTGATCTGGCAACTCCTCAGCTGTTTCCAAAGTCTTTCTTACCAGCCTGGGATTAAGGTAGATTTTTCCATAGCTCCAAGTTGCAAGTTTCTTGGCTTTTTTTGAAACAGGGTCTCAAATATGTAGTTCAGGCTGGCCTCAAACTCATGGTGATCCTGCTGCATCCTCCTGAATGCTAGGATTACAGGTATGAGCCACCACGCCCAGCTCCCATAGCTTCGAGTTCTGGCTGTGCTTCTTAACGCAACCTTCTGTGTTAGGACAGTTTATTTGTTTTGGGGTTTTTTTTTTTTTTTTTTAAGCTATCTCAAAAAGCTGCAAACTGCAAAGAAGCCCCCCTTTCTCAGGAGATACTGCTTTTGTCATACCGATGAATCACTGCCCTGTCCTGGAGCTTCAGCAGCAGGATTGAGTCCAGATGTTGGCCTTGGTCACTTCTTTGGGCTGGGTCAGTGTTAGGAGTTGACTGCCCTGAAGTAATTCAGCTATGCCAGTTGACTTCCCTGAGAGGAAGAGCTGGGGCACTCCCAAGGGCTGGGTGAATGTTATCTTACCATTTTGATGCACTTGTCTGATGTGGAGGCTTCCAGGAACCTAGGACCTTATGTGTTCTGTGCATGCGCCGTACCACTGTGCTACATCCCCAACTCAAATTTGTATATTTGGAAGCGAATTCACCTGATAGTTTTCCCTCAAGAAGAAACCTCACCCTGGCCTCTGCCTCACCGCACTTGGAGGAGGCTACGTCCAGACCCACACTCTAGTCTCCTGAGTATATCAGGGTCTCTGCCCTGCGCATCCCCCTCATTCTTGCCTCCAGGATTGTTTTCCATTTGAGGATTTGGATTAAGTAAGTTCAAAATGACCTGTCATTGTATGTGTCCTTGCACCTGCTTTAAAAACAGGTCGTAGGATTTCAATTTGTGTTCTAATGTTTGTCTTTTGATGTTAATATGAAAATAAAGAATTAGCCGTTTTTAGCAACAGCACCTGGTGCCCTTTGTCTCACTGTCTACTAGAACTGGAAACGTGTGGAGAGGGTGTGGACTGCTCCGTGTCATCCAATGCTGGGCTGTTTGACATGAATTTCCCTGTACCTGAAGTTAATGTTTAATTTAAACCAATGAAGCAGTTGAGGCTTTGACTGGCAAGTCTATTTTGGTCCTGACGGGAAGCTGTGCACTTGCCTCAACTCCCCGTCCTGGTCATGTGGCCGTGTACATTTCCCAGACTCCCCTGCCTGCTGGCTTCCCAGTGTTTCTCTGTAGCCTGGAGACTACACTATAGAAAGAAAGGACTTTCTCCCTTTCATCTTTCAGTTGTTGGCAGCACTTTTGACAGTGGCGGCAGCAGTAGGCAAGTGTGGCCTCTTGGGTTCTTGTTCAGAACTGGCCACTTGCCTCAGTTTCTTTGTTCATTTTGAAATCTCAATTGCTATTTCAGAAATCTCTATTGCTATAAGTCATGGTGTTCTGGGACTAGGCTGGAAAGACCAAAAATGTCTTCAACTAAATAGCAAATAGAGCATACTGGATTCCAAGAGGACTGGGTTCATAGGTAAAACTTACGGAGCTTTGTGCTCCACGGGGAAAGAAATTGGAAAAGTGATAGGTACTGGGGTAGAAATCACTCCTATTGATAAGAAACCCAAAACTATTTTTCACAGTGCTCTTTTCTTGTCCATGTTAGTGAATGATTACAAGTGAAATTCTGAGAATTAACTTCAGTTTATCGGTAGCAATCTCTGCTATTTTGCCTTTTATAGTTTACAAAGCTCTTTCATGATATGTTAAATAGCTCATGGAAAGAAACAGGTTCATCCTGGGTGTTTTGGCACATACTGTAATCAGCACTGTGGGAGGCTGAGGCAGGAAGATCATAAACTCAAGCCCAGCCTGGGTAACATAGTAAGACCCTAACTTCCTAACTCAGAAAGGGCTCAGTATGAAGGCTCTTTCACTCCCCAGTACCACAGAAAAGAAAATTTCCAGTACCCAAGAACTGAAGGGAAGGAATGAGGGCCTAACACAAGAAAGGGTGATAAAGAGAGAGCTGCAGAATCTAAGCCATGTGATTTGACATCGAGCTTGTACCCCAGGGGAAGTCCACTCTTGGCCATGACTGCGTCCTCAAGATGGATCTGACAGTGAGTCGCACCACACCTTTAGTGGGCACAGGCTCCCTCCCCACTCAGTCATTTTCAGCTGGTGACATTGCTTTCCCTGCTTAAGCCCCCAGCCCCACCCCAAAGAAACCACTACAACTGTGCAGCACAGTGGAGGGAGGTAGGACATCTAGATTCCAGACAGGAACACAGAGGGATTCTCCCTGAGTCTTCCATTCTTGGTCTAGAGTTTAGGCCCTAGTCAGTCACTGAGATGCCTGTGACAGTTCAGGGGCCTTGTCTGGATAATTTCAAGGTATCTAGAAGGATGTTTCATGTTTTCCCCTTTAAGGGTTTTTTTTTCCCCCGCTTCCAGGTACTGGGGTTTCTCATAGAGCTGAATCCCCATCCCTTTTTTTTACTTTGAGACAGGGTCTTGCTATGTGTTTCAGGCCAGCCTTGAACTCACTGTGTAGCCCAGGCTGGTCTCACATTTGCAGTGATTCTCCTGCTTCAGCCTCCTGAGTGATGGGATTACAAAAGTGGTCTGCTATACTCAACTCTTGTTTGAAGACTCTAACAGCCTTCAAACTTCTTAGAATTGTTTTTTTTTTGTTGTTTTTTTGTGGTACCAGGGATCGAACTTGGGACCTTGCACTTATGAGGCAAGCGGCAGAACCACCGAGCCCAATCCCTGGCCCCTCTTAGAATTGAATTTCAGTTTAAGTTCAGTCTTAGACATGTATACTCAACACTTCTTCCTTCCTTTTCTCCTTCACACAGTGTTGGATCTTCATCATGGTCCATGGCTGGACCAACACATAGAGTGCCAGGAATGTTCTAAGAAAACAGGTTTAAATGCTCCTGTGAACTCTGAGCACTTGCCAGGCTGATCCAGGAGGGTCATGAGTTTGAGGCCATCCCAAGGTACGTAACCTTGTGTACAAGGCCAACCAGAACACTACATAGCAAGACCCAGTCTTTAAAAAAACAAGTTGAATCACTAGATAAGTAACACTAAAGGGATGGGGTGTCATTCTTCAGGAAGCAGTGTTAAATTAGAGATGCCCTTATTTGGCGCTGTCTCCAGAGGGAAGAGTACAAGAATCCAGGAAACAAAGTAGAGAAAGAGGCATGGTCCTAGGTGATTCTGTGCTTCCTGTCTCGGCAATCCTGGGCCTTGTATGGTTGCTGGTCCTAGATTCTTACAGAATGCAGCTAGGTGTGTTGGTGCACAGCTGTAATCCCAGCGCTGAGGGAGAATGAGGCAGAAAGAAGGATCATCGTGAGTTCAAAGACAGCCTGCTCTATATCATCAAAAATAAAAATAAAAAAAAAAGGCCAGCCTGGACTTCATAGTAAGACCATTTCAAAAAAACCTAAAAATTAAAAAAAAAAAAAAAAAAAACAGCTGCTGAGTAGGGGCCAGGGATTTAGCTCAGTGGTTCCTCTGTCTGCCTCACAAGCACAAGGACCCGAGTTCAATCCCCTGTACCAAAAAAAAGTGGGGATAAAGGCTTAGCTGGGAATGTAGCTCAGTGCGAAGGGTTTGAGTTCAACGGTCAATACCTAAAGAAAAAAAAAGACTCAGTCTTCCTCAGTATTCTTCAGGTAGACTGGGAATTGGAGGTTCACTTTGATCCCTGTGGGGTAGGTTTTACGCTTTACAAAGTTTGTTCTGTTTAGTTTTGCTCTTTCTTCTGGGGCAAGGTCCTCATTCCTAGTTGTTGCTCTTCCTCCTGGGCTGTGGCCTTTGATCCAAGGGTGTAGCCCTGCGGGGACTCAGTTGAAAAGCCTGGAGTGTTTACCCTGGCACCTGCACTTCAGCAGGATTCCAACAACCCTAATGTCCTTTCCCCAGCACTTCTGAGTCTGCTGCTCTCAGCCATTGTTTCTGCATTTGGTGTCTCGCCTATTGAATGCAGTTTAGAAGTCAGTTAGTGACAAGGGAGATTTGTTCACAGATTTTGGCTCTTTTTCTGTGGTTTCCTTCTCTCTGGGGTATTTTGGCCCTTAAATCTCAGACACTTTGGTTGCTCTAAAGGCCTGTTTGTCTATTTTAGTACAATAAGATTGTTACTTCCAGCTGAGTATGGTGACTCATCCCTTTAGTCCCAGCTACTCTGGAGGCTGAGGCGGGAGGATTGTGTATGAGACCAGCCTGGGCAATTTAACAAGACCCCCCTCAAAAAATACAAATAAAAGGATGGGAGTGTAGTTCATTGCTTCCTGGGTTCAATTTTCAGTACAGGAAAAAAAAAAAAAAAAGGGGGCCCTGTGCAGACTGTCTTCCCATAAACTACATCTTTGTTTGTTTGTCTAGTACCTGGGATCAAACTTGGAACCTTCCACTTGCAAGGCAGGTAGTGGGACTACTGACCTAAATC